ATGTCTATATGTCTGTATGTCTGTATGTCTGTATGTCAGTATGTCAGTATGTCAGTCAGTCAGTCAGTCAGTCAGTCAGTCAGTCAGTCAGTCTGTCTGTCTGTCTGTCTGTCTGTCTGTCTGTCTCTCTGTCTGTATGCATGCATGCATGCATGCATGCATGCATGTATGTGTATGTATGTATGTACGTATATAGATGCGCATGTACACGCATGCATGCGGTTGATGCTTACACATGTGTATGTATGTATATATATATATATACGTGTGTATACACACATACACACCCATACACATGTTAACTGTCTGTAAGCATGTGTGTGTATACATATATATATATATATATGTACATAGGTATGCATGTATATATATATATATATACTTATGATACGTTGTTTTTTTGTAAGATATGCACAGTGATATATTGGAATCCATCTCGCCCCTCTCTGTACATAACGCTTTCTTTCACTCGCAGGTCTCTGTCTCCGTCTTCGCTGACTCGCGTTGTGTCTCTGTCTCACTATCTCTCGCAGGCTTTCTGTCTTTCTTTTGTTTTCCTTCGTCGGGCCGCCGGAGAGCTCACCATTTCGGAAGCGAGGCACACCTCTTTAAGTGGCCAGCGCGAGTGGCGCCGTCTCTCTCTCGCTCTCTCTCTGTTTCAAGTGTGTGGGTGTGTCCGACCGGTCTCTGGGTTCACCTGCGACTTTGCCAAGGAACCGCCATCTGATGCCAAAGTCGTGCTCGCTCCATCTCAGACTCCCGGAGGAAGGCCATGACGCGATCTGTACATTGGGCTGATTATGATCAAGGAAACAGATAGGCATGGGCTACAGGGTTCTAGATCGAGGTGAACTTTATGGACAGCCTTCCGCTGTTGTATTGCTTGGGGTTGAAAGTGCTCGGTAATGAGAACCTGCAGGGAACATATGATGTGGATTGGCAGGTCGTGCGTAAACCTGCGATAGATGCGCCGAATCCGGTGCAAGCACAGGTGGGTCCCCGCTGTAGAACTCGCAAAGTCCAGGATAGCTTCTACAACGTAAGTCCAACAATCCCTAACCGCCCAGGTACCTACTATATAGGGCCTTAGGGGCTCTAGTACCCTATATAGTAGGTACCTGGGAGGTTAGGGAATACTACAACAATCGAAAGTCCACACCGGGGGGCTCCTGACAGGCCGAGGGATGCTCCTTCTATGCACCCCAGAGACCAGAGATCCCAATACCCCTTAAAACAAAAGGCATATACCCTAAGGGTCCATGTACCCAAATAGTATATACATTGGCCTTAATGTAGTCCCTATATAGGTACTTTAGGGCCCATGTATATGCTATATGAATACATGGACCCTTAGGGATACATAAAATCGTAATATGAAGGCCTCTCGTGCGTATATGCATTAATTCAGGGGTAATTCAGGGGTATTGGGTTCTCTATGCAAACGGGAACCTTGGAATGCACCTAAAGACCGCTGAACGTCCAGCCACAACTCTACCCTCCCTAATTAAGCCCTACCCAAACCCCCGAAAGTAGGTAAAATAACGGCCCAAAACCTATAAAGGGCTATTATTCTACATGCTTTTGGGGTCCAGGCAAGCGTTGACCTCGAAACTCTGACCCTAAACCCTAAACCCCAAAGTCTAGAACTAAGACCCGAGCCCCGCGACTTCCCGGGAATTGACAGGCCCGGAAGCCTTCCGCGAGCTGGATCACCCTCTGAAACTCACCTTGGATCCCAAAGGCTCCATGTACCTTTACCCTAAGGGTCCATGTACCCAAATAGTATACACATTGGCCTTAATGTAGTCCCTATATAGGTACTTTAGGGCCCATGTATATGCTATATGAATACATGGACCCTTAGGGCTTTATAGTCGATACTTAGGCCTTAAAGGAGTTCCTATGTAGGTACTTTATGGCCTAAAAGTATCTACTATATTGGTACACGGAGCCTTTGCGGACATGCTTCTGGGAGGCTTTTCAAGTTAATGTAGGGCCCATACTAGTTAGAATAGGGTTTTGGGGTATACTATGCTATATAAGTATAATAAGGAGCCTCCGAAATAGTATTGTTAATCATTTAGGCTAGAATAGGGTTTTGGGGTATACAATGCTAAAAGTATAATAAGGAGCCTCCAAAATTGTATTGGTAATCATTTAGGCCATTTTGGTTACCGATTGGTGTCTGTAGTTGACCCAGAGGACCCCATACCCCTTAATTAAGGAATATACCTTAAATTATAGGGGCCTTAATATTATGATTTAAGGTATATTCCTTAGTAAAGGGGTATTGGGTTCTCTGGGGAAGGCTGTTACGATTCGTAAGCTCTGCCACCTGCGCAGTCTGTGGTCCGAACATCAGGCCCTACCTATAGTCTCCATTTGGGTTTAGGGTTTAGGGTTTAGGGTGTCCGTTGTAGTTCCTTCTTGGGGACGCCTTATACAATCCTTAATATATAATAGGTTAAACCAGAATAAAAGGAACTACAATGGAGACTACAGGTAAACCTGAAGCTTTGGTTTGGGCGTCAGGTAAGGTTGAGGTCCACGGGTCCAGGTTTAGGCTTCAGGTCTTTAGGTTTAGGAGAGTAGAACCTAGGAGACGCCACAGCAAAAGCATAAGCCAACTCGTCGAAATCGGTAACTACGCCCTATGTGCTGAAACAAAAGCCCGAAATCCTCACTTCATAAACCTTTATAACGACATTGAACTCCTCAAGCCCTGCCGCGACTTCCGTTGCAAAGGCCAAAAGAGGAGCACAGTCCCAGACCCTTATAATGTAATCCCTAAACCCTGAGAGCCCAAAAATCTAAACCCCAAACCCACAAGGCCACTTACATCCTTGAAACTGTGGTGCGAGGCTGAATTTATACTTTTCAGTTTATTATAGCGCCGTTGTTGTTTAATTGCCGTTGTCACTCTTACACGTACTATTAACGCCACTATTGCTTACTGCGATTATGCTTATTGTCGTTAACACCCTTGTTATTACTACTTATACCGTTGTTATACCGATAACGGCCATCCTAATTAGTGTAGGTATTTTCGTAATTTGTTACTATTTTCTATGATAACTATGAAACAACTATTGTTGGTGTTGTTCTTCTTGTTGCTATGAGAAAGTGATGACCTTGGGCTAGGATATTGAATCTCAGGTGTCTTGGGCTTACCCTGTGAGCACTGAAAATTCTCGATACCGGAGACCATGCCATTATTGTAACCTTCACCCTTAAGCCTAAACCCTACACCCCATACGATACACGATAAACTCTAATTGAACCTTCAACACTAAGCCCTACACCCTAAACCCTACACCAAGTTCATCAACCCAGAACCCCAAATCCTAAACTCTAAACCGTTCGAACCGTGTTTTGCAGCATATTTTCGCGAATTTAGGTGTAGGGAGGAGACGGAATTAGGGAATGAATTCTGGGAATCGGGTCACCGGTTAAATCTAGGGGCCTTTAACAATTGGAAAAGGGTGCTGCGGTATAATTATGCCATATTTATGTTAAGGAGCCAGCAAAATAGTGTAGGCAAGTATTTAGGCCCCCATGTTGAACGTATCTGCTGGGAAAGCTGCCATCACTTCTGCCTTCGACGTTGGCTAACCGGCTCTGGTTCTCCTGTGCAAGGCTTCTTTGGCACGGGATGGAACATGTGCACCATCGGGCTTACGGTTTAGGGCCAAACCCCAAAGCTTAGGGGTTTAGGGTTTAGAGTTTAGGGTTTAGGGATTAGGGGTTTAGGGCTTAGGTTTTAGAGTCTAGGGTTTAGGGGTTATAGAGATTTATGCAGGTTTTTTGAAGGGTTCTAGGTGCGCCGGGTGTAACATAAGGGCGTTCATGACAAGAACAGGTTCTGAGGCATGGTCACTGTAGGAAGTAACGCAGGAACCCTAACCACGCTGCTAGGTTTGCTAAAGTAGGTCCTTGCGTGTCTAGGTCAAGCAATTGAGTCGCTAGGGTCCTGCAGTAAGCAATATTGGTTTACAATGGAGAGTACGGAGATTGTGTAACACGGAGAGGGACACGCATGTAGGGTTTCGGCCGGGGCATTTGATTGTCCGGGTTGGGCTGGGGTAGATGCTATGCTGCTGGGGCTGCTGCTGCTGCTGCTGTTGGTACTGCCACTGCCACTGCCACCGCTACTCCTACTACTACGACGACGACTACCACTACAACTACGACACTGGGCACAGGCCTGGCTGCTAGCGACTACGTAGCCTGCTGCTGCTGCTGCTGCTGCTGCTGCTGCTGCTGCTGCTGCTGCTGCTGCTGCTGCTGCAATTCCATTCCACGCCTTGCCGCAGTTGCCAGCGAAAGCAACGATAAAAGAGTCAAAGCCGACAGCAGCAAGCTTGCTGAGACTGGCAAGAGGAGCAAACTGGTGCTCAGCACCCTCTGAAAACCCTAAACATAAACCCTAAACCCTAAACTCGAAACCTAAACCCTAAACCCCGAAACCCAAATCCTATATGACTTCCCCTCCAAGCCTGCTGACGAAGGTCGGAGAGTTCGCGCACTTGGCTCACTGACCTTGCAGGGTTCAGTGCGCTTGAAGCATTCAATTTGTTCAACGTTTATGGTTCGAAGTACGTATAGTCTCCATTGTGCCTCCCTTTTTTGGCGAATTTATGGTAAGGACCCTACAACATGAATTTGGTTAACCAAAATCAAGAATGAACTACAATGAAGACTGTAGGTACATACATGTTTAAGCTGATTTCGGTCTAGGCTACAAGGTGCACCTATAAGGTTCAGGGTCGATTTCTGGGACATCCTACTCGAAATCCGCAGCAGGAGCTCTCCATACATCGAGTGTCAGAAATACATTGTATGCTATATATATATATAGACATGCACACACATGTAATTACATATATATATATATATAGATACACATACATACATACATACATACATACATACATACATACATACATACATACATACATACATACATGCAGAAGAACACATTACGCACATACATTCACTCGTACACATACATACATATAAAACTGTA